ACAACTTTGTGGAGGGGAAGCTGATCTTTCCGAGCTTCCTGCATATGTAAAGAGCGCGTGAGGTCATAATCATATGCAAAGAAGAAATTATGCGATGCAAACAAGAGTTTCGTGTAGCGAAGCAGTTTTGGTAGCAACTCCGCAGCCTGGCCAGATTTAGACCGATTAAACTCGCTCTGAGCCGCAGCCTCTTCAGGCAGAGCTTCATCCAAAGCTTCAAGCTTTGTCTCATTGACGTCACCCGAAAGGCTGGAAGCTTCGTCAAAGGGAGGCTCTGACACATCATGCTCTAGACCTCCGGGCCCGGGCAAGCCCAGGTTTTTGCGCGATAGCCAATTGGCTGCAAATCTACCGAAGCGGACCTTCTTCGCGATCACGTCTTCCGCGATACTCCCGACGCTGGTGCCGCGGGCATGAGATATATCGCGAGTAGGTGATGCGGGCACACTGCCGATCTCCGCCTCCGCCTCGGCTCTGTCTGTTTCGTTATCGGGAAGGTCATCTTCGTCGGAGGACGATTCGATGGTGACTTCTGCCTGCGAGGATTCTTTCCTGGCTTGTGTGATTGCGCGGGAAGCATCTGCTTGGGATGAGATGGGAATGATCGCGACGTTGGTTACGGCGTAGATGGGGCGGCCTTGGATCTGCGCTACTTGCTGGCGCTGTGTGATGGAAACGAGAAATGAGTATGAAGCGACAGATAAAAGACCTGTGGCAGTAATTCCCTGGGATTAGTTTCTTATTTCAATTTACGCCCAGTTCGTCAACATACCTACGAGACCGCAGGTCTCCAGGACATCCTTTCCGTTGAGGGGCTCCGAGGCGCCAGCGGGCAACGCAGTGATTTTGTTCGTCTTGTAGTCGATGCGGATGGATGAAGCCTCATTGTTGTTACCGGCGATATGCCGTGGTCCGCTGGCCTGAGCATGTAGAACCAGGCCGTCGACTGCAGCGACGATGGCCAATTTGCGCAATAAAGCGGGCATCGCGCAAGTTCCCCGCGTTCGAAGGGAACAAGATCACACACCTGCCCCAATGTTGACGTCTATAGACCCCTCACAAAGTCAGCCAAGGACAGGCATTCAATGGAGAATTTGGAGATATTGGAATTGAAATTGAAAAAGCAAGAATCTCGGATGGGCATGTTCCATAAACAGCTGACCTGCAAATACATCATCGGCACAGCCCCACCCAGATACCTAGATAGGTCGTCAATTCTGCAGAAATTAAGCTATAATCTAAGAATATACCCTTCTACTAGTATATTCTAGGATCTATTAAAAGGACCCCTAGACTATTAAGAGCTTAGTTTAGATCTATATAAAGTGGACGTCACGTACTCTATAGTAGGGGCCGAGGAGGGTCGAGTGTCTTATATAGCTTAGCGTTTAATGCCTGGTTTTGGCATTTTGCATACTTAGTTCAATTGCCTGGTTTTCGAAATCGGCTAGGAGACATGAAAGAAGGTTGCCGACGTGAAGGTCTAATATAGGTATTCCAAGTATAAGCATATGTTCAAGACTCTCGCCACGCCAGATCACCCATAGAGAAAAAAAGAAAAAAACAGTAAAGAAAAAGACATCAAATCCCAACCATCCAGAGAAACCCAGAGTCATATCCAGTCGTTCATACAGGCATGTCCAGTGCCTGATGAGTTCGCCCGAGTTTCAATGCAACTCTGGCATTTTCGGGGAACAGTAAAATTACAAGAGGAGATCAAGCCCGTGGGAGGGAAGCTTGCCAGCAGTCGAGTGTGTAGAGAGGAAGGAGAATCATTTCAAAGACCTTGTTATAAGGCGAGGGCTGGAATCAGACCTTGAGACACCCGCGATCAGATCTGACTGTTCTGCTTGGTGTGCATTGCAGTCTGCACTTCGGTCTGCGGGAAAGTCGGACCTGGCTCCCCATCACTTACTTCGGTCAAGGTGTGCATGCCGATCGCGTTCTCCGCATCGTATGCGTGGATGAGGCCTTCGCGGTCGCTGGCTCCGTTGAAATATGCACTCGAAGAGCTTCGGCGGGACTGCATTGAGCGGCGGGTCTGGAAGCTCGCCATGCCGTCTGTTGGCACTCCATCCTCGTCAAGTTTTGAATTCACCATGGTGTGTCCATCAGGGTCGTGTCGCGAGAGGTTCAGGAGGTATACGCCGGTGAAGATGACAAGGAATCCACAGAGTAGAGATATGGTGTTAACAGCGTCGGTGGTGTTGAATCCCTTGAAGAGGATGAAGGAGGCACAGAGGGTCGCGGTTGTGAAGGTGACATAGTAGAGTGGGTTCACGCTGTTGAAAGAATCATGTTAGCCTCGCCCATTCATCTTCATTGAGGTCTACACTCACATCGAAGTCGAGAAAGAGTTCAATGCCTTGTTGAAGTAGTTCATCTGCGTAAGGATGCAGAACCCAGTCACAATGGCAAAGACGTAGGTGGATGCGTGGACGAATTGATTGTTGCCCCCAAAGGTTAATTTCACTGCAATACCAAAGGCCTTGACGGACATGACAGAAACAGATCCAACAGTGGAGCAAATCGAGATGTAGATGAGCGGGTTCTTTTTGCCATAGACTGGCGCAACCCGGTAGATCATCACAGTTGAGAAGACCGCAACTGCGACACAGTATAAAAGGAACCCTAGTCACAATGTCAGCAGTGGTTTTCGGGCGTCGGGCACCGATCAAGTCTTCGTACCTGGCTGAACCGCATATCCAAGAATCTCATCGACTGTCTCCACCTGCTTGTCCGGAGGTGCATGGAGAACGATGACGACCGATCCCAGCAAGCACAGCGCACAGCCTAATTTTCCTAATACGCCAAGTATCTCGTTGAGGAAGTACGAACTCAGAACCGCACTATGCCATGTCAGCATGAGATTATGCACGCCGTTGAGGAGAGACCCCTACCCGATCAGAACACTCAGCGCACCCAGGGGCGTAACCAGGATGGCAGGCGCAAAGGCGTACGCAGCAAAGTTGGCGACTTCACCAAGAGCCACTAGGAGCCGGTTAGCTTCTCCGGATGTCAAATCTGGCAATTGGTGTCCGTACGTGTCACTATACCACCCCACCACACGGGACTCTTCAAATATGAGAATCCTTCGCCCTCAAACCCATGTCGTTCGGAGGCCTGCATCAAACCCTGTATTCCGACGCATTAGCGACTCCGCTTCGATGATGATTGCTTTAGACCGAAATCGCCGCGGTGTTTGTCCAGCGCATCCGGGATCCAAGTGCCCGCTTCCCGGGGAAGATTGGCACACCAACCTTTTTGGTGATAACGAAACTCGTACCGATGGCCATGGTCGATACAATGGCTAGAAGAAGCCCGACATATCTATAAGGGCGCAACGCGCAACTATGTTAGCACTGACCAGCTTGCCCTCGGGGGGCTCGGAGGCAGTTGAGAGCGACATACTTATCTGGAAGCATTTTGACGTGATTCCTATCTTAGGAGCCGGGAGCCCCTACTGTCGAAAGACCTCCAGTGCCGGCAATGCGTCGGGGAATGAGCGAGAGACTCGGGTGAGCGAAGGAAGGGATGGTAATTGGCCAGGGACTAGGGGGAAATAAAGGGAGCGAATGAGGACAAAACAGAAAAACGAGCCAGCCCGAGATTTCTGATGAGTAAGGAGGATGTGTAGAAGATGATGGCCAGAAGCCAGATGCCAGAAGCCAGAAGCCAGAGATGTGCCTGCGTGCGGTGGGGTTCCGTTTCAAGCCCGATCGGGGGACGCGTAAGAGAACAACGGGGCTAGAGGTCTTGGAGGCTTGGGCTTTCAAGTACCGAGGTGGTCTTTTTTTTTTTTGCTTTAGGTAATTTTTAATCTTAATATCCCTTTATATTCTGAAGATTTGTATATGAATATGCATAAATGTAGAACTTGAAATAGAATAGGTGGCCATAACTTCAGATGTCTACTACATATGTGCTATTTAGTGTCTATGTACGGAGTACGGAGTACTACTATTTGCAACATTGAAGTATATTGTACACAATACTACCATGTGTCACTGACGTCTATGTGGTCATAGTTCTGGATACTTGTCTGTGTACCTATTAGTACATAGTAGTAATGGTATCTTTGTCAAAATTAAAACCAAATGGACCCTGAAATGAGGCCAAGACCGGCGTTTCAGCTCCCTCCGAATGCGGCATGGATTTCTATACTTAGCCCGGAATCCCCAGAGACACCAATTTGGGTCCACAATATGACATTACATTGTGTGGCTGAATCAATGTAAAAAGTATATGACTACATAAAATACTTTATACTTATACATATACCTGCAAAGCATACAATACCGATCCCCGACATCCCCGGAATGTTCCTCCTTCGTGCCCCATAATCCAAGGATAGGCACTTCAAATCTGGGGTTATAAGGTCGGACATACCTGGTCTCATTCATTTACTGAGATATATTTACAAGTACCTAAACATAGACATGAAGAAACATTTGGGGTAAAAATTCATTGGTAGAATACTACACACACGTGGACTAACCCATCGCGCCGATACGCCAGATCCTAAGGGAAATGCATTCGAAAAACTCGCCCAACTGGGCACCCATCAACACCGAACAAAGATTTTGGCCGAAGACCGGCAGTGGTATCTTGAATCGCAATGGCAGGGAAAGAGTAGAAGGACAAAATAAGAAGAAAACGCAAGAATAGATGACGAGCAATTGGACGATGTGTCGAGAGCAACTGGAGTTTGATCCAGATGTAGGATGGAGAAAAGAGAAGGCGCATGCCCCAGGGAGGTCGAAGGCGTGCACACGCTAGGGGAAGGGGTCGAACATACCTGTTTTTTTGGTTAGTAGTTGAATGAGACACCGCGTCGTGGTCTAGGTCGTTGCTGGCAAGTATGATTATTAGTATGGCGAAGGGTCATGAGTCACGTGGAACGAGCCATCGAGGGTTAGACTCGCTGGACACCAGACATGACAAATGAGAGAGATTGCAGAAAGGGCTCCAGGAGAAGAAGGAAAAAGTGTGAACGTGGTTTACGAAGAGCGACGACGCTTGGTGTCAACGGTGGTTTCCACCAGGTCCCAGTCTTCTTCATCCTCGCGAGACCGTTTGGCGGAGGAATTTTGGTTGGTTTGGGGGTCTGTCAAGGAAGGGTCTGTGCCAACCAGCTCTCCAGCCTCCGATTCTTCAAAATGGGTGTCATAGTCGCCAAAATGATTCTCATCAAACTCATGGTCATCGGCACCCTCGTCATCAGCTTCAACATGAGCGTCGAGTTCATCCTCTGGCTCGTCGTAGTCTATGCCCTCGAAGTGATCAAGAGCATCGTTCTCTGTATCTCTCTGGGGAGTCTGCATCAGGTCTACAGCAATTCCAAGTAAATCATGTGCAGGCTCTGGCGTTTGCTCCTTCTTGTCAGAGGTGTCATGCAAGCCACTGTCAAGCGGCACCGCCGGCTGGTCATGAGAAGGGTGGGTGGGATCCCGTAGGAGAATTTCCGAGACAACTTCATCTGTCGGTGGGGCATCTAACTCATCTGTGTCCTCTTCATCAAGAACAGACGCCTGATCAGCTGGTCCTTGTGCATTAACATCAGCATTTTCACTGCCAGTGATATCTTTTTGGAAAGCTTCTGAATCATCGACTGAGCGGATGTCTTCATGCTCGTAGTATTCCTCAGCTCCCAGGCCATCGTTCTCAGGGTCCTCTGCGTAATAGTTCTCGTCGTCGTTTTGATCTGTATCGGCATCTGCAGCAACGTCCAGAGGGACATGCTGGGTATGCTCTTTGATCTCGCTTGCGCCTGGCAATGCAGCTACCGTGGCAGTGGAATCACTCTGCCGGTCCTCAGAATCATAGTGCTCTTCGTTCGTATCACCATGGCCATGATCGTATTCTTGATCTTGGTCGCTTTCGAGATGGCGAGACTCATCAAAGTGGTCTGACTCTTTGTTCTCGGGCTGGGCTAGATGAGATTCAGACTCAGGTGCAGCCTCGGCACTTCGCCCACTAGAGGCAGGCCGATCCTCATCCTGCGCATGGACAATCCCTGGCTGGGCGTCAGGGACAACTTCGGGCTGGACCTGAGACTGTTCACTATCTAGTGCCTGCTCTTTTCCGACTTCTGGAGCCGTTTGCGATTCCGTGATTGAAAGCTCTTTTTGGGCCTCATTGGTGTAGTAGACCTCGTCTTCATGTTCCTCAGCCCCATGAGCACCAAGATCCTCGGAACCTGCCTCGGCTTCATCATATTCATCCCATGACTGAAGTTCGGAATGAAGTTCGGAAAGTGTCTTGCCCTCAATTGCGGCGTCATTGAGATCTGCGAGCTCAGCCGGGAAAGCACGCTTGGTGCTAAGTGTAAGGTAAAGTGCGTCCGGCTCGGTAGTGCCATCGTTGCGACAAAGTCTAAGATAAAGATCTAGGATCTGATGTAAGGTTACTTGGGATGTATGGAATGAGTCCTAATACGATGAGTCAGTAAACTGTCCGGTGGGGGATAATTGAGGGAGTGCTGACCTCTGTTATTTGGATACCAAGGGTGTCAATATCGATGACCAAGACTTCATTGCCTGCCATGGTCTTTTGAAGCACCTGGCGCAGAGCCTTGAATATTTCGCCAATGTCTTCATAAGCTAAAGCTTCGTCTTCAACAAAGAATGTATCCGCCAAGTCTCCCTCAAGGGGAGGGAACAGAGCGATCTCGCAGTCTTGGTAAAGGATTTTGACTGGGTGAAGAGGTTCATCTATGTATGTGACCTGTTGGAGAGATTCATCCGCATCCTCAACCTCCTGATTTCCCTCAGACACAGGCTGCATTTCCGGGCGCGCAGTGTCATCAACATGTGAATCTTTGGCGGAATGTTTGGGTTGACTGGTCTTCGGGTCCTCGTTGGAAAGTTGCGTTACCTGAGCCTCCGACACAGAAGATTGTGATATCTCGTTAGTCTCTTCACTAATCTCTGCCTTTTCATTATGGCCGCCAGCTTCGGGACTGGTGACATTTTCGGATGGTTCCTCAGCAAGGTCATCCGCAGCCCTGCCCGGCTGGGCCTGAGTGGCGGCGTCTCCATCACCGGAAGTATGAGCTTCGTCTTGAACTGGAGCATGTTCCACAGAGCCCCCTGAGCCTTGAGGTGCTGCTTCGAGAGGTTCCACGGGTGTGACTGTGGAATTCTCCTTAATGGGGCTGGCAGCGTCTTCATTGCTGCCAGCAGGTTGAAGATGAATGACGGGGGCGTCAATATCGACTTCTTCGGCCTGATCAGGTTCAATCATTTCCTCTTCGTATGGCTCTTCATCGAATTGCACGTCAATATCATTGTCTTCATCAACGTAGTTGTCAGCGTCGATCATCGAGCCTTCGGAGGGTTCGGCCATGTCGGCATCGTAGATCGCGTCATTGTTAACTTCGTTAGGCTGAGAGGTATGTGTAAATTCATCTGCGCCCATCATGTCACTGTCCATGTTCGAGACATGGTCCTCCATGAGGTCGATGTCGATATCAAAATCGTCAGCCTGCCCTTGGTAGGGCGAGGCCATCTCCATAGAATCCCCCGTAGCTGGGATTTCCATTACGGTGTATGCGCTCAAAGGCGCGGTTGTCATAACAAGACACGTAAAGACGTGGTCTGGGGGTCGTAGGTAGTATTGGAAAGTTCAGCAATGATGTTCCATGAAAAGGGTGGAAATGATGGTTGAAAGTGAAAGAAAAAAGAATTCTCAGCAATACGCAGAGCAAAATGCTACGAGTAATAACACGAGAAAGGATGAAGTGAGTGATGGTGGAGTGTATTCAACGCGTAGGAAAAAGATGAAGTGAAGAGAAAGTGTCTGGTGACGACTAAGCGAAAGGAATGCACGGGCCAACCGCCGCCGAAGTGAACAGAGTAGCTCCCTACCGCTGCCAACCATCAACACCAGGGTGTACGCTTCTAGTCAACCCTACGCTTCTCTATCCGTTTCTATACTCTTTTCTTTAATCGCTCTTTTATTGTCGTTTCTGTGCCCTTTTTGTGCTGTTTTTCGCCATGGTAAGCCCTTGTTCAGTCCTATTCGCGGGGGGAATTGGACTAATCAACACACAACAGGTCGTTCTCGCAGCGTCGATATGCACCCGCGGAGGTAAAGCGGTCCTCTCGCGCCAGTTTCGAGAGATCTCTCGGTCCCGAATTGAAGCCCTTCTCGCCTCCTTCCCCAAGCTGGCGGACTCCGGAACCCAGCATACCACCGTCGAGCAAGACAACGTGCGCTTCGTGTACCAGCCATTGGACGAGTTGTATATCGTGCTGATCACCAACCGTCAATCGAACATCCTCCAAGACATCGACAGTCTCCATCTCTTTGCGCAAGTCACCACCAGCATCTGCAAGAGCCTAGACGAGCGGGAGATTCTTCGCAATGCCTTTGAGCTCCTGAGTGCGTTCGATGAATTGGTAACTATGGGATACCGGGAGAATCTTTCTCTCTCTCAGATCAAGACCTTCCTGGAAATGGAGAGTCATGAGGAGAGAATTCAGGAAATCATTGAGCGGGTATGTTGTAGAATCACCGGCGAGGTTAGTTCACGGCTGACATACATTGATAGAACAAAGAGCTGGAGGCCAGCGAGGAGCGCAAGAGGAAGGCGAAGCAGCTGGAAATGCAACGCAAAGAGGCTGCTCGCACAGGTCGCGCCGCCGCCCCAAGAACTCCATCCTACCCCGTCTACACACCCCCAACGCGCCCCTCCGTGCCTGACACCTATGATTCATACGAGGCCGAGAAGAAACAGACATTTGCCAAGTACGTTTGGTTGATTCCCGATTTATCTAACTGTTGCGAAACTGCTGCTGACTGCGTGATAACTAGGCCCATTCCCACTCGCGGCAAGGGCATGCAACTGGGCAAGAAATCAAAGGCAACGGATATCTACGAGAAGGTCCGGGGTGATATGGGCCCCGAAGTCGAAGAGGAGAGCCCATTGGTGGCTCCACAAGCTTCGGCTCCTGTACACGACATTCCCTCAGCCCGCGAGTCTCTCAATGTGGACCGGGAGCCCATTCAACTCACAATCGCCGAGACCATCTCAGCCACCCTTACTCGGGAAGGAGCCTTGAAGTCTTTCGAGGTCAAGGGTGACATGCAGCTCCGTATCAGTGATCCCTCACTCACCAAACTCCGACTCGACTGCCAGGCTATTCCCACACATGGCGCACAGTTCCGCACCCACCCTAATGTCGACAAAGCTCTCTTCACCAACTCTTCCGTGATCCAACTGAAGGATACTACCAAGCGCTTCCCCGCCAACAACTCCATCGGGGTCCTCCGGTGGCGTGTTGCCAGCTCGGCGGACAATACCGACATTCTCCCCATCACATTCACCGTTTGGGTAAACAAGGGCTCTGACTCCACCACCGTGACCGTGGAGTATGAGCTCACCGGCGAAGATAGTCTCCGCGATGTGGTCGTCACTATCCCATATGGCACGGCAGAACCTGCCGTATCTAGCTTTGATGCAGTCTACGAGGTCTCCGGGGACAGTCTGGACTGGAACTTGGGCACTGTTGACGAGTCAAACGCCTCTGGCAGCTTTGAGTTCGAGGCGATTGATGCTGATGAGAATGAATTCTTCCCGATGAGTGTCCGCTTCGCCAAGACCAAGCCTTTCGTGGATGTCGACATCAACGGTGTTTCCCTACTGGACATGGAGGGTGAGGGTGTTGCGTTCTCAAAGGATGTTCGAAGTGTTGCGGAGAACTACCTCATTGAGTAAAAATGGGCTTGGACTACTGTATAGAGTTCCTAATGATGTTCGGATTGTGTTCTTTAATTTCCAAGATCGTGTTAAGCCAATTCCTTTCCATTTTTCTTACAATAATATAACCTCCATACTCTGTAGTATATTTCCAGTTAAGCCTGGGAGACATCGAGGCCTGACAAACAAGGCCATTAGGCCCGTATTAAATACAATCATCCGAACGTAATGGAACGTCAGGATTATAGACTCGCAAATTAGCTCAATATGTCCAAGTCGGGAGGACGGTGGTGAGAATTGCCGTCAAGCTTTTCCCCCTTCGGGCTTATCCATCCACTTTCCGAATGAGGTGTCCTGGCCTGAATGTCAACCAGGGACGAACCAACCTCAAATGCCGGTGCCGCCACAGTCTAACGTCAGATTGACTTCGAAGCCCTGGGTCTGGGCCATCTAGATATTATTTACTGTTTTACTATTTTACTATTCTACTATTTACTGCTGATTCACTTCCATATCCCGAAGATGGCTCAAGACTGCCGCAGTTCAACGCGGTTCATGGGCTTGAACACACAACAAATCCAGAGTTTCAAGAACAGCCCTGGGAATATGAGCATTGCTCTGGTCGAAGCTCTGTTTGGATCCTATCTCACGATCCTTGGTCACTTCATCGGAGTCCAGAGCTAGTCGGTACTAACAACCGAAAGCTGACCCTGAGACAGATTCATGGTTAAACCAATAACTCCTCTCTCTGGAGTAATCAGATGTAAGCCCACAATAGGCATGTTTGGTTGATGGCAAATAGTGTGATCAATAACCAGAAGAAGGTATTTTGCTCATGAAAACGTTGGACTTTTGCCCCATGCCCTACGAGGAGACTGAGGCAAAACTCGCCAGCTATTCCTTATCTGGCGGGTGGCCAATGGTGTGCGTTTACTCATTACCCTAAACGAGCATTGGATGTCATCACAGTATCGACTTGACCAGCTCACGATTCCCAACGGTGCCCTAAACCCGAACCCTTTTTTGACCCCCTTCTTTCCCCGGTCTATGCTTCTCACGGGTCAAATCCTGGGGTGTTTTATAAAATCCAATGAACCTTCCTTCTTGTCTCACGTTATATTAAACTATTTGACTTGACACATGTCACGGCAGCCATTGCTGATATTGTCATTTCAATATATATCAGAAGCTCCTTGGGACCTATACACATTGTCCAAACTCAATTTACTCAAGTAAGTAAAGCATGAAGCTCTCGTAGTTAGGAATTTCCACTGACATTTAGTCAACAGCTTCATTATATTGTTTCGTGGTTCACAATGAGTAATATTCCATTTCCCTCGTGGAATGATCAGAGCCTCTTCAAATTATCGTGCGCTGATGCAGACACGTGTAATCAGTTATCCAGTGTGGTAAGTGTGAAATCATGATCATTCCAAGAAGTATTATCTGATAAAGCATCTCTAGGATAACCCGGTTCCTCACCTCCAACGAGGTGAATCTGGAGTGGGCACCAAGAAGATGGCCATCCCGCGACTGGCGGAGGGAGCCGAATCTACTGCCTTCACCTCCCCTGGTAGGTTCCATCGTCGACACGTTCGTCGAGCATGCGAGTCGTGCAGACAACGGAAGACGAAATGCACCGGAGACAAATCCGGATGCCGCAATTGCCGAGAGGCCGGAATCATCTGCTGTTATACCGATGGCAAAAGGGAGAAGTCCAAACGGTACGAGCCAATGTAGATTGTGCACTGGCGTTGTTGCAAAAGCTGACGTCTACAACTAACTGAAATAAAGACAGTTGGCAAGCTTGTCCGCAAAGGTGCAGGCATATGAAGATGTCATTAGCAAGCTGAGCAATCGTTTTGGCGTGTCTGATGAGCAACTCGTGAACATTGCCCTGGCAGCGGTATGAAGCTTGACCATCCGATAACTATGTTATCTATGTTATCTAATACCAACCAGGAATCAGCACCTGACTTGGAATTCAACCCAGAGGCGTGCCTTTCAGCAGCTGGAGAACGAAGAATTTCATGGCATACGGGTTCTGAGCCACCCCCCCTCCCGAGCATCATCCATTAGTCCCCTGGAGGCCGGCGACCAAACAGAGGAGGACTTCAATAGAGACGAAACTGCCCGAGCAACGGGCTTCATTGGGAAAAGCTCTGAGATTACTTGGCTCCAAAGGCTTAGCAAAGAGGTCAACAGTGAATGTGAGGCCTGGCCTGCAACTCTTCCCAAAACAGATGACGATAGCGGTCTGCCCTCTCCAACTCTGACGCCTCGACCGGAGAATCCAAGCGAACCTTGGGTAGTGGCTTCCAACTATTACCTTGATGACCTGGACATTCCAACTGCAGATCAAAGTGATATGTATGGAGTCCCATCGCGGGAGATGGCAGGCAAAATGCTCAATGCCTATCTGACTTCCGTGCATCCTTCCTTCCCAATAATTGGGGTTTCAACCTTCGTCCCCCAGTTCCAGGTCTTTTTTAGTCAACCATCCCTCAAGCCAGGAAACAAGTGGCTCGCTATACTCAACTTGATCTTTGCCATTGCGGCTAAATATGGCCAACTGACGAACTCGGACTGGAAGGAAGAAGATGACGACCACCAAATGTACTTCTCAAGGGCGCGCGCCTTGAGCTTGGAAGATCAAATTCTCCATCATCCTGATCTACAGCAGTTGCAAGTTGAGGGGCTTACTTCATTCTATCTGATTGCATCCGGACATATCAATCGGTAAGTTGACGGCCTGTATATCCTGGTATTATATACTCACGGAGATGGTCTATGCAGGGCCTGGAAACTTTCCGGAAGTGCAGTTCGAGGAGCGCTGGCTCTTGGTTTGCATTTGCGCAACGTTGGTGCGAGCATATCGGACACCTCCAAGGAGATACGCTATCGGGTGTGGTGGTCATTATATACATTGGACCATCTACTTACTATTATGACTGGGCGTCCCTCGTGTATCATTGACAGCTCCTGCACTACACCAATGCCTGTTCCTTTTGATGAGAGTGATTTCCAAAAGGACGAGGTGACTCGCCTGATAGGCACAGCTACACTCCGTACATTTAACGGTTCCGAGCGGGTACCCACCAACAACAGCACAGAGGACCTAGAATCAACGGCTGATTCTGATTCAAACGAGGGCGAGACAAAAATGAGCCGAGCAGAGTATCTCAAGAGTCTTCCGCCTTGCACTTCGCTTTACTTCCTGCAGTTGGCCTCTTTGACTAGCATTTCGAAGCGGATGACTGTGAAACTCTACAGTCCCGAAGCGTTGCAGTCCCCATGGGCAAGCACCGAGTTTACCATCAAGAGCCTGATGCTTGAGATTGATTCATGGTTCATGAATCTCCCTGCTGCATACGACTTTACCTCGACACAGACATCCCAATGCCCCATTAGCCAGCGAATGGGCCTCGCCTTTCTGTTCTACAGCACCAAAATCGGAATTACCCGGCCGTGTCTCTGTCGTTTGGATCAATCCCCTTCCGAGGAAGACAAGACTTACGAGTTCTGCAACAAAACCGCGGCAGAATGTGTTGAGGCTGCATGCCACATGCTTACACTATTCCCGGATACCCCAGACGCAGTACTGCTATACCGCATGTCACCATGGTGGTGCACATTACATTACCTGATGCAGGCAGTCACTGTTCTGCTGCTCGAGCTGGCATTCAGGGCCCAGCACGTCCCCGAGAAAGCGACGATGGTCTCCAAAGCTGCAAAGAAAGCCCTGGACTGGCTGTCGACGCTATCAAAAACCAACATGGCGTCAGAAAGAGCCTGGAAGCTCTGTGACGGATTCCTCCGCCGCTTAGCACCACATATTGGAATCAACGTGAATGATTTCCCTACCACCGAAGAGTCAGACCCCTCTCTTCGAAGTCCCTGATACCACAGACTCCGCTCCAGTGGTAGAAGAGCCAGCAGCGGATGATGTGACATTTGACCCGTCCGCGACTATGCCTGCCGCAGTGGCGATTGACGCTATCTCCGCCGAACTGGACTCAATCACCTGCTCCCCGATGGACCAGTCCAACACTCCTCTCGGTATGCCAGAACCAAACCCTCCTCTCGGCATACCAGAACCCTACGGCCTCGAAGCGCCGGATCTACTCGATCAATTCATCAAACAGGAGAAGGATCTCTCGGGTCGGAGCTCGTATGATGAATGTTTTCCCTATGATCCAGCCACCGGCCAGATCACGGGTTCCTTCTTCCCATCTGGTCCGAATATGGAACTTGATATGGGATATTTCTGGGGTGATCCGGTGTGTTGAACTATTGGCATCTATGCGGATGGATGGGACAACATGGGGAAAAAAGCAAATCAGAATGGACGCAGAATCAAATTGGAAAAAAAAAAAATCTCTGCAGTTATCTGGATTCGGGTTCTTTTCTTCTGTTGCTTCATTTGCATGCCATCAAAAGAAAGAGAAAATCCCACACCTGTCTTCATATAGGCACTATAGAGAAAAGTGATTCTTGTTTCTCTGAACTTCTTCCACTGCATCATTTACAAGTTGCCATTCGATACAGGAGCTCATTACTTTATGGTAGCTGGCTATAAATTGCCTGGTTGATACTTTAATGCTTCATTTCATGTCTATTGGCATCTGAAAAAACATCATCTGGGATACTACACTATTCACTGATAACCTACTTCGGTCACTACAATCCAAGTCCATCGTCCACATATACTCCTTCAATGTTAAGCTTGTCCCAGAACCAGATCATCGAGACCCATGTACTCCCCAAGTCTGGATATCTATGCTGGAGCCAGCCGGAGTCCACCCCTGGATAGAAGTCTAGACCGGTCGAAAGTAATTCTTTTCCTTCTTATTCTCTTGGATCATTCTGTCGTATTTTCGGATTCGCCGCTAGGGAGGCGACGGATTCTGTCATGATGGTTCTTCAGTCACTGTGACGTGAGTACCTGCAAGTCGGAAATCGACTGAACTGGGCAACTGGACATGTGCTCTTCTGTTTGTGTCTCCTCCGTGTCAACATAGGGAGTAGTTGCCACTGAAAAATGTCTTTCGCCTGGGGCCACACATTGATAATATATAGGAACATCTTTTGGCACCTTTTCTGTCCTCAATTGGCGAAAGAGAAGGCCCGGTACTATCTCCACTCGATGACCGGTTCCAGTGTACGAGATGATAGTTCAGTGTTGACTCGCTTATGATCAGGACACAGTCTAAAGCCAACCATTCAGTATCAGTAAGCTTCTAGAGTTTGGGAATGACAAGGTCTATCATTTCTCAGAAATGAAGTAGTCATAATATAGTAGGCTATAGCATGAAGTTGTAAATCGGGCCAGGCTCGTATGCAGGGGCCACTGCGAGGGTTCTAAGATGCATCGATTGGGGTAGAAATATCCTAATTGTTTATATATATGGTGATTGGAACATCAGCCTGAGCCCGCCGCACTCCAATCCCTCCGAGCAGCTGTAAACAACAGCCGTCCGAGTTCTTCTTGGGGTGTGGAACGGGTGACTTGGTTTTTCGACGGTGCCGAAGGGTAGTACACAGCCGTAACTCTCGCAAAAGAGATATCGACAGTGTGTTTCTTGCGCGTGAAGTCTGCCCATCGCGTCCATTTCGATGGTCGAGATGGATCTGAAACGGCGATATCCGAGATCACGGGGGTGATACCAAGGAGTCCGCGGTCATCCCAGACGAATTTCTCGATGCACTCCAAAGCAGGCATAATTCGACGCCGCACGCCGCAGCCGGTGTGAGCTTCGTCGATTGCATAATCAGGATATTGTTTGATAGAGGCGATGACGGCTGTAATATCCGATGGCGGGCCTGGGGGTTGGTCGTTCATAGATTCGCCAGCCATGTGATCACCATCGTTGGGAGCTGAGTCGAAATCCGGGTCTATCAATGTTGATCCTAAAAAGACCGTTCTGGCGCGCATGGAAAAAAATCGGACCATTTGGCCGAGTTGGAAGAGGTCGCATTGGCTAGCATTGTTGAATCCGCCTCGGCATTGGAATTGACGAGATTGAAAAAGCGCATGTGCAGACGCGGTGAAGGCCGCGCCCAACGTTCTGTTCTTTGCTGTGGACCTTGCACTGTCGGTTTCCTCCATACCCCCATAAACTCGAAGAAAATGAGCCTGTAGGTCGGTGATGGTGTTCAAAACATACTGACGTCGACAATAGATCTCCTCTGCAGAAAAGTGATTTAGCTAACGGGAACTGACAGGGGTGCCTCCGGAAACCCACCTTCTAAACCATTTGGTAGATATTTCCAGCGCAGAGACTCTTCTTCGGGAACATCTAGCCCGTTTACCCAGAATCTGGAGCCCACAACCAGCAAGGCATGGGTCATGATTCTAGTGAGTCTTGAATCATTTAGGAAGGCAGATATGAAGATGATCTGTCGAATCCGATCTTCCTTCATGGACAACAGAGCTGCATTAAACCTGGCAAGGAGCGCAGGCTTCGACTTGCCATATAAATATCCAATTCTCTGTAGAACATACTGGACGGCACGAGGAGAATTCATTGAATCGGCAAGATCGATCATTCTTGCAACAAGCGATGTAGATTGTGTCTTCAACTCATTTTCAAACATAGTTCTTTCGGTTTCATCGAAAGAATCAAGGCATAGAATCTTCAAAAATAACTCGATAGCATCTTCTCCGCACATGCTGGTAGAGTGGACGCTGGGAAGTCTGACTGTTGGTAGCGCGTGCTGCAAGGCTGAACCTGGTATTTTGGTTTCATTCCAGGCTAGCTTTTGAGCACTGAATTGCCTTCCCTCGGAGAATTTGGTGGGATCCAGTAGCGCTTGGAAATATGGACTGTGCGAGGTAAGATGCTCGCTTGCCACCTGCCATTTGCGCGTGTTGGATGACGATGGAGAGTCACCGGGAGCGATGTACTCGAGAATCAGGTCCCCATTGGCAGAGATAACTGTGATGGGTAATTTCTCGTTATTCTCTTGGAGATCATTTTGACTAGAAAGCCCACTTTGATGGCCTGCAGTTTTGGCTGGGTTCATGACTGTCGAGTCCCCCCCAAGGTCTCCGTGGTTATGATAGTGAAGCTGTGGCCGCGAAGGAAAACATTGGACGTAAAATAATCAAGGGGATTCTGTCCGAAGAGCTGTGTTATGTACTGTCATAGTAAAGTATTTTTCAGTCTCAGAATGTGCTCGTGAAGATGACAATTGGTGTTCAATGTCAATGAAGTCAACTGTTTGGCACACACTAATCGGATTTCATGGACAGACTTTGTAGAGATAAAAAGATAAGTATTAATGTATAGAGGACACGAGAGAAGACAGAGCAGGATTACAGAGATAAAAGCACTTCACTGTTGATATCCATGCCCACCTCGGCCGTCCAGGGTGGAGCCCGGGCGGGATTCCCACAAAATGACTAATAATAGGCACGTGCAGTAGCCCATCTTTAGCTAACTAGTTAACTAACTATTTATTATGCCTCGGATTTCCAGATAGGATTCATGCGCAAGTTAGGCCAGCGATTTATCTGTTCATCAAATTCATTGGTATATATGTATCAGACACTTTTGGTGAAATACCGACACGAGCGAGGCTTGAGAATATTGGCAGGTCACAAAGTAAAACAAGATGGGTGTATAGCATACATACTCAGTCCAAATTTGCCAACCTTGGAAGATGAGGATCAAAACTCGCTACTGGCCAGCTAGTATGCAGAACAAGCGCTCTCTGTGTGACATCATACAATAATGACCACTGGAATGTGCATGATTTTGGGGCCCGCCGGTGTTCCCTTCCCAGAACCGGTGGCTTCACGCTCTTGTCGGTTCTGTTCCCGAAGATCCACCGCTTGCCTGACTATATAGTATAGGTATTGCGCAGTGTATGAAGTTTCAGTGTCAGCACCGGATGGTGTAATTCCATCAGGCTTGAAGGTCGGATCAAACTCAAAGCCGAGGCTAAGAGTGGGTGATACAAGAGAGAATACACCAAGCGATCTTCGATGTTCGTTGAGGTAAGGCGAGGTAGCGAGTTTGGCAGCGTCGATGCCTACTTGGGCACTCCCGTTGCCATCGAATAAAGCCAATTCAAAAATATCGTTCCCTCGGTGATTCACGAAAAAGGGCTCGCTCGTTGCGAATCCGATGACAAAGTCGGAGTTGGCACACGCGGCGATTATCGTACTCTGGCGGAATTCGGGGTAAATGCAGTTTCAATGGTGCTGGGCAGACAGAGTGCAACGCTGCGGGCCAGTTGCGGGGGAACTGGGACACCGTCATCTGCGTGAAGGTGTACGTGCGGAGTCACAGACTCGGTCGTGACCGAGATGGTTGACGATTTCCGTAATACCGATCCCGTATTATTCGGACTAAATTCTTTCCAGCCGTTGCTTGTTTCCGTGGAGGGTGTGATGATTTCCAATTCCTCGCCCGACGAGTAGTTATTTATCTCGGCAGAGATCTCGGTTTGGATTGTCTTTGCGGTGGTTGCAACTGCCTCGCGGGCCGCCAATCTCAAGGTTGGGATCAGTATATCATTTTCTTGTTGGTCCACTGGAGCTGCGGGGGCCCAAGAGGTGGCCAGATTGGACCATGTTGCCGTTCTCAATGGGCCACTGGTGTAAGACTTCTTGATCAAGTCTGCCAGAGCCTGCCTTGTTTCCAACGGGGCATCTGCTCTGCCCATGAAATTTACTAGAGGGTTCAGAATCTTGCTTCCTTCCCACAATAGAAATCTATGTTTCCTGGACAAATACTGAAGTTGTTCGATGGTGTCGCTGGACCAGTCATCGATGACATCGGCTGGAATTTGTAGTATGGCGATGTACGGGCCGATATCTGCGGCCAGCCGCAGGAGTGAAGCTGAATCGATGTGATTGACAGAGGCGTGGGCGACGACTGGCTGCCCATAAGGAAGGGTCTTTTTGGTAGCGGCTAATGTCTGTAGGTAGGCCAGAATCGGGTTCTCGGGGCACCAGTCCCCGGCGGTCGACATTGTGGGCTAGCTGTGGAGAAGGGAGAGTGAGCGTAGAAGGGTATAATCGTATGGGGAAAAGAAAGAGAAAATTACAAGTACAAAAGAGATGAGAAAAGAGAAGTTAGAGAATGTGGGAAGGAAGAGGGGCTGGAATCTCCACTACTAACTAGTGCGATGTCTAATCCCTGCTTCAAATTGGAATTCACCATGCAGAGACTGATAAATAACCCATAATAGCGTTCTAAGTTATCGTTCCGGCCATAGCCCCGCGTGCCGCGTAGGATAACACTAAACTCTCAGTGGAGCCCTAGGCCGAGAGCCGGGCGCATACAGAGATTGTCTCACACAGAATCTTAAGTACGGAGCAGGTACTCGATATGTACTAGTATATTGTACTTTGTATAGATGCTAGGGTGGCCTTTGGCCAACTTAACAGATCTTTCCCTCTGGAAGATCTCGGGGTTTGTTTTGACCCTAAGGAGTCAGACTTTCTGTTCCTGTCAGGCTGAGGTTATGGGGCTCGTCTCATTTAACGGAGTTAATATGGGGTCTGCCGATTTTCGTGTTTATATTAAACCGATCGACCGGGTGGCAAACAAGAAACCAGTCTGATAAATGGGCCCCCAAACTTAGGAATCAGGAAGGATTGCTGAGAAACCCGTCGAAGGAGCTAGCAGCTTAGGCTATTGAGCGGTTTAGCAGTCTAACCTGATAAATCTAACCTGTTTGGGTATAGTTGGCCTATCTATTCCCATTTCGGTATAGCCTATGTGATGGATGGCTTTCACTAACTATATTTGGCTAGCCAGAACTAATCTGGAACAGTCGAAGTACCTACAACTACGGAGTATGTTTCTAACATTGAAGGTTGTACTTGGCTACCTTTGGCTATCAAGTACAAAATGTATGGACATGCTACATTTATCGATGGTGAATACTACCTTACCTCTAATGCTCATTTCTAGTCACACTTCCTTTTCATGCTCAGTCGCTGGCTCCACCCCGGGCCAGCATGACCTTCATTATCTAAGGGAGACTACTCCAATAGCATTGATTTTTCTTCCCTTTGTCAAGCAAGATCTCTTACAATAAAATGGGTTCTCATGCAGTGTTTCTCGGCTATCGTTTTCCTCATTCTGATGGCTTTGCCAGTCGTCCTTTTGATACGCGCTCTCTTCGTGGTCTGTTTCTTAGCCCACAGCTACATTACATTGGTAACTTCTTGGCGGTAGATGGTCACTATTTTTAGCCAAATTTTAAAAAATCGTATCTCCCTAGTTATTCTTCGTGTATACAAAAAATGCCTATGAGTATCAAAGTCCTTGGGATCACTGGATTTCAACCACATTCCGAATCAAGTTAAAATAAGATGCCACGCTTGTAGGCGGCCCCTCCGACAGTTGCACTCACATTCAATTGAGAATACTTGGACTAAGCAATATCAGGCTGCTAGGAGAAAGCAGAGGCAGTGCTAAACTTTTGATACATCTCATCCAATTACCAAACTTCTACTTCAGCGCAACCATTTATTCTTACCTAGGTACGGAATATGTACCCTACAATCCTTTGTCTTTTTTTAATCAAATATCAACATCCCAAGGCACCTTCACTCGACTCTCTGCCTTTTGACTATAGGGAAGAAAGGCCATTTAATCTTGAATAGGGTCGGATGTGACTATTCAACTGATTTCGCTGCTTTTTCTTCTTCACATATGATAGATCAGAATGCTTCAGTTTTTGGTCTATTTGCTTCAGTTTTTGGTCTATTTTTTTTTCTTGATTGCATCTTGCTACTCCATATCCTCTCTTACATGGCAGGATTGGATTGAACAATGAACACTGTCCATTGTTTGATAATTGTGGCTTCATGTCTTGTTTTCATTTGCAAGTCGTATCAACGCAACTCCTGCTTTTTATAACCACCATATTGTCCATCTGCTGGCCAGTGCACTCAGTCGCCCTGGGTATGAAAACAGCGCCGACAAGGAAGGCAAATAGAACACTGGGCAATCGTTAGAGGGTAACTAATGATGGAGCTTACCTACCTAGGTACTTACCTAGGAGGTAGGTACCTGCTTAGCAGCTGAGCTAAGCCTGGACCGCGATTTCCTCCCGGCCTCGGGAGGTTCCTCAGCGCTTCGTCAATGCGGCTAAGATATGAAAGCCCCACCGAGATGGAATCAGTTAAATACGGAGTTATGTACATACCTAGGTAACTACATCCATAGCCTGGTATTCTGCACATTTGATCTCTAATTAAATATGAAGTTATTACCCTGTACATACATCAATCCAAATCCGATGTGGACCCGTGTTTAAACTCGTGGCCTGATCCAATTGTAAGTCGACGATTCGAAATTTTCCAAGGCTCCGGGAGCGGGCGGATCCCTGGCTCTCGTCTTTTGGTGTCACGCCACGCCTCCCCTGATTAATTCTTATTATTGCCGCCTCGCCTTTCGGATTTCCATCTCCTATCCTACCCCCCCCCCTATTTTCCCTATATTGTCTCTCTACCACCTTTCCGCCATGCCTGGGAGAGTTCTGCCCACGTTTACCTCCGCCGAAGTCCAATCTCACAAGACCGCCAAGTCATGCTACATCACCTTGGGGCCTAATGTTTACGATGTCACCGATTTCCTCAACGCGCATCCCGGTGGTGGCGATCTGATCCTAGAGTATGCCGGCCAGGATGTGACAGACATCCTCAAGGACGAGATTTCCCACGAACACAGCGATTCAGCCTATGAGATTTTGGACGAGTACCACATTGGGTTTGTATCCGATGTCTCTGCGCCTGGCAAAACTACCACCACGACACCGACAACTGCCATCGAGACGGTGACTGAAACCAAGTCTGGTCCTGTTTTCGCAAACACTGGAATGTCGCGGGCGGAGGATCTGTCGATTGACACCGACTACACCCAGGACTTCAAGACCCATAAGTTCCTGGACTTGAACAAGCCGCTTCTGATGCAGCTGTGGAACAGCAACTTCTCCAAGGAGTTCTACTTGGAGCAGATTCATCGGCCTCGCCACTACCGGGGAGGGGAGTCCGCTCCTCTCTTCGGCAACTTCCTGGAACCTCTCAGCAAAACTGCATGGTACGTCGTGCCAAGTATCTGGTTACCATGTGTTGCCTATGGAATGACGGTGGGCGCTACCGGCCTGGGTAGCCCCGCCGCAGCTGCCTCCTACTTCGCCGGCGGCCTGTGTCTCTGGACTCTGATTGAGTATGTGATGCACCGGTTCCTCTTCCACATTGACCACTGGCTTCCGGACAACCGTGTCGGTCTTACCCTGCACTTCCTGCTTCACGGTATCCACCATTATCTCCCGATGGACAAATATCGTCTTGTTATGCCACCGACACTATTCGTGTTCCTAGCTGCTCCTTTCTGGAAGCTGGCACATGCGGTCTTCTACTACAACTGGTACGCGGCTTTGTCGGTATTCTGTGGCGGCATCTTCGGGTATATTTGCTATGATCTCACCCATTACTTCCTGCACCACCGCAAGTAAGTTGAATATATCTCTGATACAATGAATCTACGCTAACATCGATTTAGCCTCCCGTCGTACTACAAGGAGCTCAAGAAGTACCACCTCCAGCACCATTTTGCCGATTTCGAGAACGGTTTTGGCGTGACTAGTCGATTCTGGGATCGGGTCTTCGGCACCGAGCTAGTGTCCCCGGCCCCAAAGGGCGCAAAGGCCCAGTGAGCACAACGAATCCAAGCATTAACACAGGGCTGTCACTGGTCCTCAAGTCACGATTTAACGCCGAGTACGATCAAGACACTAGTCTTCGGTACTCTTCAAGTACATTGGCTACTGTGGAGTTTCTGGTTGGTCTCACGGGTCTACTTTTTGTACAGTAGACTTCGTCATGTCATCTCTTGTGGTGCTAGATGCAAGGGGGAGTTGATTATTTTTTTAACAAGCACCACTTATCAGTGTATATGACCCTTAATCATAATGCAAGAAAACATTATCTATATCTACATACTGCCTACTCCTGCTAGACGTCGCTACAATCACTTATATGAACTTTTGTCTACTCACGCATAGGAATTTGTCACTATTATAAATATAGAGATGATCTGAAAGAAATATCAACCCTTTCAAAGCCCTCGGGTAGACCGGGGAATGAGGTTGTACATAGCAAGCTATCTGATGTCCGGAGTACGTATGTATGTATCCAATATTATTTTAAGGTTGTCCAGGTCGGGTCCCTCTGGCAGAATCATCTTACCCACAAGGCGGCGAAAAAAAAAAACCTCGCACGTGATCTTACAGCTCACCGCCCGAGCGCTTTTGGCGTCGCGACCACCCAAAGTAATTATAAAACTATATCAACACTCAGTGCTCTAAATACGTTCCTCCTCGAACCTTGTCGCGTTTCTCGTGACTTGCAAGAAAGACCCGGAAAACGCATAATCGTCCCGGAAACCAACGGAAGATTCCGTGGATCCATCGCATCATAAGGGTTCGAAAAACCAACTCTGCGTCCCCTTCCGCCATCTGACCCCCACAAAGTGACAATCTCCATACCCTGATCAATATTTTTACCCCGATCAACGACAGGCTACCTCCCAAAATGTCTGGACTTGATGTAGAGGCTCTTCTGGAGTCTACTGCGGCCGCCCCCGCCGAGCCCCCAACCACTTCTGAAGGCCGTGATGACCACTCCCGCGCGGACACCAGCGAGCGCCGCGATCGTTCCCGTGACAGACGCCGTCGCCGCGACAACAGCCGTGGCCGCCGCCCCGACCGAGACCTTGAGGGCGATGAAGTCATGAAGAGCGACACTGCTAGTGCTAACGGAAGCCTTAGAAGCCGAAAGAGGAGCAAGAGTCGCGAATCTGAGCGACGCCGTCCTCGCCGTGACCGTGACGACTACCGCTCCAGCGGTGACTTTTATCGTGGTGGAGGTCGCGCTCGTTCCCGCGCTCGTTCCCGCTCTCGTTCTCCTTATGACGATCGCCACTACCGGCCCAATCGCCGCCAGCGTGAGGAAGAAAGACGCCCCCGCCGTGACATTGATACCCGCCGTGGATCTCCTAGCCGCAAGTCTCCAGAACTGAATGAGGATGAACGTGACAGACGTACTATCTTTGTGCAGCAACTTGCTGCTCGTCTGAGAATCAAGGACCTGTTTACCTTCTTTGAAAAGGCCGGCCCCGTTAAGGATGCTCAGATCGTGAAGGATCGTGTTAGTGGACGCTCCAAAGGGTATGTTTTACACATGATTACTTTATACAAGCACTTGCTAATGTCCGTGTAGTGTCGGTTATGTCGAGTTTAAAAATGAGGAGTCTGTTGCCGCCGCCATCCGACTCACTGGGCAGATGCTCTTAGGAATTCCCATCATTGCGCAACTGACTGAAGCGGAAAAGAACCGCCAAGCTCGTAACACCGAGACTACCTCAGGTCACCACCACACTGCGCCATTCCACAGACTCTATGTCGGTAACGTCCATTTCAGCATTACTGAAGACGATCTCACCAATGTCTTCGAACCATTCGGCGAGCTCGAGTTTGTTCAGTTGCAAAAGGATGAAACCGGTAGAAGCAAGGGTTATGCCTTCGTTCAGTATGTTGTCCCTCCATGTTCCTGGCACTTCCACTAACTGACTTAAACCAGATTCGCCAACCCCGAACAAGCTCGTGATGCTTTGGAAAAGATGAACGGATTTGAACTTGCTGGACGAGCTATTCGGGTTGGTCTCGGCAATGATAAGTTCACCCCCGACACGCACGCCAATCGCCCCTCTGGTGCTTCGTCTACAAACCAACCAAACTTCCAGGGTTCTTCGTTCTCCGGCCAGGGAGGTCGTGGTGTTCAAGCCGGAGGTTTCAACAACTTTGACCGTGCTGGCGGCAGGGAAACCGAAAAGGGTGCCGGTGCTAGTGCACTTGACGATACAGATGTTGCTGGTGTGAACTTCAACAACTACTCTAGGGATGCGTTGATGAGGAAGCTTGCACGAACAGATGACCCCCAGCCTTCTGTCGACGACCGTCAGAAGTTCCTGCGACCCAAGACCGAGACTAAGCCACTTCCCATCAATGTCAACATGGCTAGTCGATGTGTCTTGCTGCGCAATATGTTTGACCCCGCTGAGTAAGTTTTCCTTCACTTCGTCATCAGAGAATGAACGCTAATTCCTTTACAGAGAGACCGGTGAAAACTGGATCAAGGAGCTCGAGGAGGACGTCCGCTCGGAGTGTGAGGAGAAATACGGTCACGTTGTTCACATTTCGCTAGATGCCAGTTCCCAGGGAGATATCTACTTGAAGTTCGACCGTGTTCAAGGTGGCGAGAATGCCATCAAGGGCCTCAATGGCCGATACTTTGGCGGAAAGCAGATTACCGCCCAACCCGTCGTGGATGCCGTCTACAGCAGCCTGTTCTCCCGGACTAAGGCTATCTAGATGCTCTTCCCTGAGTACATCCACCTTTTTTACGAAATCTAACCTGGCACACAATCTGAGGCAGATCCCCCCTGATGTCTTGGACTTAATGGACGGCTCTGCTACCCGGTAGGTGCCACTCTTTCTGCGTTGCGTTTTTTCTTGTTTTTTCTTGTTTTTTCTTGCTCGGCCACTCCCGTGTGCCGTTGTCTCTTCTTTCATCCACTCCCGTGGACCTGGATTTGAAGTGGACCTTGCTACCGATATGATCGTTCTAGCAGTGATTTAGCATCTTGTTGCCCTGATTTTTTTACTTGTGAATGAGTCCTTTTACTTGTGAATGAGTTACATCAAATATGGAACACTTCGCCCTGCTTGTAGCAAGTACTTAGTTTCAAGTACGAAGTAGATTCCAGGAAGATATCCACTTCATTCTAAAAGGTCTTTACAGGGATCGTGCAAAGACTTGTCTAAAGTATCATGACCGGTGTATATGTTGCCCAGGTGTATCGGTTCAATTATAGAAGTGCATCATGCATATCTTGGAGTGGAACCCCTAAAGAGCCAAATCCCACGGAAAGAATGTGCCGGTCCAAGTCTTCTTATCTGCCGACGCTCGGGCCAGATGTGTTCTCCCCACAGTCCTTCCAACCCTCTTTTTCCTCCCTATTCCCTGGTAATTCAATGGGCCAATGACTCTCCTTTCAGCGAGGCGAGTAACAGGCCGGGTCTGGACCTCGGCCGACTGTTACAGTATGTGTGACCAGAGCTACCTGCTTATCTGCAGCTGCAGGTTATGAAGATCCTTGATCTAACACAACGCAGGCTTCGCTCTCCTTCGTCGAGCGCGATGCTACAGTACAGAGTCTGTGCCGCCCAGTCAGTCGGCGTTTAGGAAACAACCACAGTTCCGCGATTACTTTGTCACCCATCTGCCGTCGTCTTCGCTTCATCCGGACCCCCGTGGTCCGTCCTCGCCATTCCATAAGCTCCCTCGCTCCGCCTCTATACCTCACACCGGAGATACTCCACAATCACCAGCTGCCTTCCAAGCTTTAATAGACCGCGAGACAACAGTCGTCCGGATTCCACTCCGCAATGCGAAGCACCATTTCGGCGCCGTCACCTCCCGTGGAACCCGTCCCTCCAACGAAGACACGTACCAAGCTGGCGTCATTGACATCCCCGCCTTTGCGAAACGAGCTCCAACTTCACTGACGATTCGGCGATCTAATAAGCATGATCCTTTGGCCCACCCCCGGGAGTCGCGCGGTGCGGAAACAGCCAGTGGAGACCCACAGGTTTTCTATTTCGGTGTCTTTGATGGCCATGGCGGATCCGAGTGTAGTTCGTTCTTGAGGGACTATCTGCACGAGTATATCCAGAACGCGGCATTTGATATCGAACTTCGATCCAGCCTACGACCTGGTGCCGAGGTGCCACCCACTACGAGCGAACTACCTGTGTTGCAAGAGGGTGACCGACGCAGAATCGGAGACTTAGAGAAATACCTTGTGCAGACCTGGAGACGGGTAGTTGGTGGCTACTTCAAGAGATTCAAACCGCCGCATTTCGCCTACACTGGCACCGAGTCCACCGACCCGGGTGTTGAGAACCACATCTCCATCGAGGAAGTTGTGGAGTACGCCTTCCTGCGTGCGGATCTAGATTTTGTCAATGCTCAAGCAGCTAAGCGAGATGACGATCCAGTCCGAGCTGAGAGACCTCTGAACGACGACGAAATCTTTCACAGGCCCAGCATGACCCGATCTCCCCAGATCGGCGGAAGCGCCCGGTTCAAGGGTGGCAGCACCGGAAGTGTCGCGATGATCTCGACCCCGACGCCAACCCCGTTCTGGCATCCCGTCGCCCCATCAAGTCTCCTAGTTGCCCATGTCGGCGACACGCGCATGCTCCTCTGTTCAACAGAAACTGGCGACGCCATCCCCATCACATCAAACCACCACCCCTCCTCCCCATCGAGGCATCCCGACTCCGACGGTACGCCACAACCTTTGTAACAGACTCGTTCGGCGAAGAACGCATGAGTGGGCTAGCCAACACACGCGCTTTCGGCGATGTGCAGTCCAAGCGCATCGGAGTCTCTGCGGAGCCTGAACTCAAGCGCATAGAGCTTGGCCCGGCCGAGTTCTCGTTTTTGGTTTTGGTATCTGATGGCATCAGCGGGACACTGCTTGACCAGGAGATCGTTGATATCGTCAAGGAATCCAAGACGCCGGAGGAGGGGGCGCGTGATGTGGTCAATTTTTCGACCGAGGTCACCAGGGAAGGTGATAATGCTACCTGTCTTGTTGTTCGGCTCGGTGGTTGGGAGCGTCGTCTCGAGGGCGGCGTTGGTAGTATGGGTACCAAGGAGTCTCGCGAATGGCGTCGACAGGATGCCACTGATCCGCGCAGGTCACGGACGTGAATGAGTTTCTTGTACTCCATATATTTAGGGTGGTTATCTTCTGTACATATTTTTTAGGCCTCTAGGCTGGTATATAATCAATGTCTATAAAAGCACGTTCTACTGGATTATATTCACACTATGATCTGCCTTCAGGGCTATATCCCGTAGACGTGACACAGATCAAAATTTGACTGGTATGTTTCAAGTCCAGTCCAGTTATTTACATATGTTATGTTTCATATTTCAAAAATATCACGATCATCTCCAAGTGGACCGCGTGGGGAAAGCTCAAGTCCAAGGTTCCGCGTAACCCGCAGGACATTCCACAATTTCCTTTCATCTTTTTGTCTTTCATCTTTCATCTTTCATCTTTCATCCCTTTTCTTTTTATTCTTCCTTCTTTTCATTTTACACCTAATAACCTTGGTTTCAGCGTGTCGACAAACGCTTATCTCCCCTTATCGTTGAAATTTCTCCTTGTTCCTGAACACCTCCTATCCTTATCCTGAGTTCGCTTTATTCTTATCTCGCCGACACGGTGTGTTTTCTCTTGCTGTATCTGCATTACAACCCGAGGCTGACAGCAGCTAGACTGTCCAATATCCATACGTCTCACCGACCTATACGAGAAACAGCTCGCCAGTCACATCCCTTTCACACACAATGAGCGCAAGAACACGACGACAAAAGGCTGCCCTCGCCGCTGAGGAGAGCGAAGATTCACTTAGCAATGGCTCCGTGTCGACACCTTCAAAGCGCGCCTCTTCGAAGAAGAGGGCCAGATCCGCCGCACGGGAAGAGAGCAAGGAAATCAAGGAGAACATCTTCCTTTTCACCCCGAATCTTATCGGTAGAATGCCCCGCTGATGTGGCTTTAAGCTTCGATTTGACATATGGTTTAACACGGTTCCAGGATACTCCCGAGTCGTTTTGACCTTCGCCTCCCTATACTACATGCCCCTCCACCCGCGGACCTGTTCCTTCCTCTACACGGTGTCCTGTCTGCTGGACGGTCTGGACGGTTATGCAGCACGATACTTCAACCAATCCACCACCTTCGGTGCAGTGTTGGACATGGTGACCGACCGCTGCACCACTGCGTGTCTCCTGGTGTTCCTGAGCTCCGCCTGGCCCCGATGGGCTATCCTCTTCCAGGGTCTCATCAGCCTGGACATGGCCAGCCACTACATGCACATGTACGCTACTCTAAGCATGGGCGGATCCGGCCAGAGCCACAAGAAGGTTGATCCTAGCCGTAGCTGGATTATGTACCAGTACTACACCAGCAAGGTAAGACCCCGCCGCAGCGATCTGATTTTGCATCGTCGAAGCTTATCCGCAATATTTTGTTAGCTCGTCCTGTTCATCTGCTGTACTGCCAACGAAGCCTTCTTCATCGGCCTGTACCTCCTGTCCTTCTCCTCGCCGACCCTATCCCCTTCGCTCCTGCAGCCCGTCTCCGATTCCCAGCTGTCTTCCGCCCAGCCCGGAAACCCTGCCCACCCCGAGCCAGCCAGCCTGTTCGCCAGTCCCTGGAGCGCCGGTGCCCTCGAGATGGCGCGTGCGAACAAGCTCGAGAGCACCTGGCCATGGATCATCACCGGGGTCTCGTTCCCCATCATGGCCTTCAAGCAGTTCGTCAACATCGTCCAGATGGTGAACGCCAGCAAATGGCTCGCTGAGGGCGATCTCGCTGCCCGCAGAGCCAACCGCAAGAAGTAAAGGGCTGGAACTACACAAAGCTAGACGATAGCTAGTCGAAATTTCCGTTTCCTACTTGTCATGCATGTCTTTGGAGCTACGGTCTGTGTTTTCAGGGATGCGCAAGAAGACAGCGCTAGATGGGTCGCTTCGTCGGGGAATGCTTGGTCTGGTAGTTGGATCCTGTTCATAGGCGTCTTGGACAGGAACGATGCCTTTTGGTGGCCAGACATGGTCCGGATTCTAGGACCCTGTACAGTACACACGCGGGTTGTGTTGCTTGTTTCTTTTTTTTTTTTGCCGTTTGATTTCTCTTACTCTTCTCCTTGCCTTTTCTTCCTTTCCGTTTATTTTTTCTTCTTTGCTTCTCGGCCTCCTTTTTTACGGCCTGGTTCTTCAATCTTGTCTTCTTTTACTCATTGCCTGTCAGAGTTTCATCATTGTTAACGCCGTTATACATCATTTAATGCATTGCTTGTGTATTTGACCCTAGTTATGACTGGAAGGCCTGGTCAATGATAGCTGTGGAACCTTACTTCAGATACTTGATATTGTGGATTTCTTGTCGACCTTTACCCAACAGAGACTTGTCCCTTTGATTTCAGCTATTGCACTTTTGAAGCCTTTATTTTAGGTCTAAGAACATCGCATACATATATAGGCAAAGGGTTGTTTGCCATAACCTGCAGGCAGTAATGGATATTCAGGTCCGAATGCGTGTCATCCCTACAAATTGCTACCTAGATTGGCTTAATATCGCTAGAAATGCTATGCCTCGATACAATAACTTCCTTTATTTCATCCTAGCACCATGAGTTTATCTTTAACTTAGGATACATATATCTTCAGTGATCAATTCACGGCCACCCTCTAGCGAAGAGCTTAGAGCGTGTGGTAGGCAAGTGATTGCCAATTGCTTGCCAATATCCTAGGCGGCCCAAAAACCGCAATTCGGAATCACCTGGGGTGGCCAAGACCAATTGATGTGTGATTCTGATGACAGAGACAAAAGGGAGACCTGCATGGAATGAGCAAAACTGCTAAATACGTAACATGTGTATGAGAATATAGAGTCCAGTCCCCGTACCGTCTCCCAAATCCGATCCATACTCAAAAGTATTCCTCAAGATTTGCTCTCAGGCTGTCGTCTAGAGATGAGAACCCCTTTCCCCACATCTGCTTTAGCAGGTCTTCTGCTCGTTTTGCGGGCAAAATTTTGCTTTCATTCTGCGTCGAACTGGGGAATTCTTCGGGAAACTGCCGATCCGGGAAGAGATGCTGCAAAGTCCTTATAAGGTCATTGCGATTGAACGGACCGGCAAACGCGAATAAGCGTTCATTAGCAACCTCAGGGTGCAGCAGAGCAGCAATGTGCAGCCGCGCAACATCCTCGACATCGACGAAAAAGACTATATTTCTTGTTAGAACGTTTTTGTTTTCCCTCTAGATGTACTAACATGGTGGGAAGTTATCGATAAATTCCGCCATCTTTTTCGGATCATTGTCATAAACAACGATTGGGATCCCGGATGAGGATGGGTAGCCCTGATATTGGACATCAAGGGGTCTTCCAAATACGAAGGAGGGAATAACTGCAACAAACTTAGAAAATCTCATTCTCAATCCCAACAGCAGGAAGTTCCCACTTGAATTTGCTTTAAAAGACGGGTCTTTGCGAGCAAGCCAGTCCCACCGTCTTCCAAATACGAAGGAGGGAATAACTGCAACAAACTTAGAAAATCTCATTCTCAATCCCAACAGCAGGAAGTTCCCACCTGAATTTGCTTTAAAAGACGGGTCTTTGCGAGCAAGCCAGTCCCACATCGCCTGCTCACTCCGGACCTTACTAGCCGCGTACACAGCCATCGCCCTTTCCTGTAAATAGGGCGGAGGTGCCCAAGCTTTATGGACAGCCTCCTCATTCCACATTTCGCTGGTCACCTCCAAACTTTGCGAACTGGGCTCCAGAACTGCGACTGACGACGAGGTCAAAACAAAACGGAGTACACTTTTCTGTTGAAGGGTAGATTCCAATACGCTAAGCACTCCATTTGTGGCAGTAGGAATTATCTCGTTAGGATCCGAGGAGAACTGTGTAGGAGAAGCAACGTGTATTACTCCGGCAATTCCTAACATGCTTCGTAAGTCACTTATTCAGAGAATCCAGGGCGTCGTGATACCTGAGAGCGATTTATCATAAGCACCCTCCGAACTCATGTTTTCAACAGCAACGAATTCAAAGGCTTCTTTGTCGTATTGTCCCTCAAAACGCTGAATCACCCAACGGCATCTATCGAAGTCACGACCTGCCCCTCGGACTTTGTAGCCTAGGTCAAGGAGCATGTGAGCAACATGAGAGCCAATATAGCTATTGACCGCAGTTACTAGAACCCTGGAACCCGGAGGGATTGCAGGCTTGAAAGAGAAAGGCATCTATAGGGTTTGGTCATTCGAATGAATACTGCGTTCGAGCTAGAATGCATGGATAACGCACCTCCGATTGGATTGTGTTGGAATTGAAACCTGCGATGTCCGCCATCGGATAGTGAATCTTTGATAATCGTCCATAGTCAGAGAGTTGCCCACCTTGTATTTATATCAACATTCGTCCAACTGGTCTTGCGGTAAAGAGTGGGTCTCATGCTTTCGTCTGAGGATCTGCGACTTCGTCCGAGATTCAGTGAAACATGGCGAGACCTTTTGGACGTAGGATCAAGTAAGTTCAAGTTCTGACCATGGAGGGAGGTTGGATTGGACCAGATCATCTTTGCGGAGCTTGGGCTCTGTTTGATCAGTTTACCAAATCCGGCCATGTGCGTTCCTTTCTAGCGTTTACAAGGCCGGTAGATATATATCACGTTCTAGGATTCGTCAAAATTCGGCTTGGCCTGGCTCTGCCCTATTCTATGTTATGGGACCACGGAAGTAATTCTGAGGTTTCCATTTCCTGAAATATACCGCAAAGCAGATTAGCTGTTTATATATCGTTTCTTGCTATTTATATCTCAGCATGGACTAGTATATATTGAAGTAAGTTTACGCATTCTGGATAGACTAGCGATTAATTTTATCTGAACCATGTTACCACGAGTGTTACACGAACAAGTTGATGAATAGCAGATTTGCGCATTTCACAGATCATAAGCTGACATTGCAACCTCGGGTTCGTACTCGTATTCATACCTCCATGGAGCGCCGATAAACCTTGGAAGCGAGCATAAAGCCCCTCCCAACAGGGGGCTTATACATAGTACACACCGTTGATCTCCATATATCCCCAGTTTATGCACGTTAATCGGATTTCCCGGCCTGTCTCGAATGGTTACCTCGCCACCATGCAGGCACTTATAAGTCTGCATCTCCCAACTCTAAACCCTGAGTGCTATTTTCGGACAAGCATATCAATACTCGCTTCCGATATTCATATTCGATGTTGAATATGGGAGAACACGCCGAATATGTAGCCAGACACGTCGACGCAGACCTCTGTTTCTGGAGACGCCTGGATGTCGATAATGGTATCCAAGTCGACTTTACCGAGGGTAAACCAGAAGATAAGGAAGATAAGCCCAAGGAAACGGAGGTACTGGCCGAGAGGCACAAGGTGCAGGTGCAGGATATCCGGGGGCAGGAATCGTCCTACACACTGGACAAGAACGGATTCGTCTACCTGTTGCATGAGATGCCCGAACTCGGCAGGGTCTCGGACGAAGAGTATGTCAAGGAGACGATCATCCCTGAGACGGAATCATTAGTTCGCAAGATGTCAGTACCAATCCCAGAATAAACATGTCTGTCTCATGGTTCGAGAAGCTAAATAATGCCCCAGAACTGGCGCTACCAGGATAGTCACATTCGCGCATCGTGTTCGATGCCTCGCGGAAGATGGAGCCTTGCTCGCTAGCAACCGCGCCCCGGCGCACAGTGTGCACTCGGATTTCACGGTCCGGGGCGCACTGCACAATCTGGAGACGGTTTTTCCGGACACGCAGGAGCGCAAGCGTCTCCTCACTGGCCGAGTTTTGATTATCAACGTCTGGCGGCCGTTGAAACCCATCCAGAGAGATCCCCTCACGGTTTGTGACTGGAGCTCTGTTAATATCCAAGCCGAGAGTATCCCCACTTGTGTGACATTGCCAAATGGGTGGAATGAAGTTGGGCGGTATGCGTTTAGTCCGAGTCAGAGATGGTGTTATCTCAGCGGTCAACAACCCAACGAACCTCTCATTTTCACACAGTTCGATAGCTCCAAAGTGGACGAGGGAGGCTTCACAGTACCACACAGTGCATTTGTTGACCCGGAATATAGTGACTTTGCTGCAAGGGAGAGTCTGGAAATTAAGATGTTTGCATTTGTTTAGTATGTGTTTGTTCTATTTGTTCTGTTTGTCTCAGGGGACAAAGGAGTCTCAAGGAACCTTGGAAGTTTCAGTCTTTCAAGGCTATATTTAGTGTCCTCACAGATCAGGCACTCCGTTAATTATTAAATCTGAGTCAATAGTGAATTTTGAATTTCTTTCATCCCGAATTCCGAGAAAAAAAGGGTTTCCCTAAATGACCCAGTTCTTTATTGCCTACGGAATAGAATGGAAGGCTTGGAGGCATCTGAAAATTTCTCCACGTTGGACACGTTGCACACGTGTGTTCGATGCAAGGTGTAAAAAATTCAAATATCCCTTGCTACCCAGGTACCCAAGAAATTGCCTAAACAGCCCGGAGACTGACGAGGTCTCCGGGAACCTGCATGACTCAAGGGTTGGGGTGCATTCATAGGGTGATTTAGGGTGGACTAGGGCAGTTTAGGGTAGTTTAGGGTAGTTTAGGGGAAAGTCGGGAAGCTCTTTGTTGCCTGATGTGATCGCCGTTCGGTCCGCACGGCACTATTGAGGAAATCCGGCATCGGTCCTTTGTTTATTTTTCCATCTCATGACATGGCAATATGGAGTCATTGTTTCATTTTTCATTTTTTTGTTTCATTTTTTTTTGGGTTTCGATTTTGCAATCTCCTGACCTTATGGCTCATACCTAGTTATGAGGCTCATTTCTAAAGCGAATCACCTCATTTTAAAAAGTAGCCTAAAGTTTAATGATTACTCACTCTGGAGGTCCTCTAGGGCATCGAATGACGCGATGGTAAAAATGTATGAGAAATTATCATTCGAACCAATTGGGAAGGGACCTTGTAGCGCCATTTCAGCCATTAAAGCCGTGAGGTGATCACACAAGATCTTCTTCGGGATGGTCCCACCAGAAAAAGTGGGTCTTCCATTTTTCTCCTTTACGTGACTCACCTTGGCAGCTTCCAAGGTTCTATATAAGACTGCTGCATACTGCATTCCGGTTTTTTTCTTCTCTCAGTACCTCATCTCATCCTTTCCAGGAGGTGATGGTCGCTCCCCTCTATATTAAAAGTTCTTTATTTCTTTAAATCTCCTTCGACTCCCAAGAATGGGCCAGAGGCATAATAGACGCCGCACTCGTCGTTCAAGCAATCGCAACATACCTCACACTGTTCTCGCTCAACACCCGACCTTGCCTGTGGTAACGAAGCCAGCCCCTCGGACACCTCAGAACAGCTTTTGCGCACTTGTGTCTGCCGACAACTCTCCTGACGCATGCATTTCACGTGGATCTCCGGCGGTCACCCTCGCCCCATCATGGCACAATGGGTATACAGCCTGGCAGACCCGTGAGCGCCCCTCGCGGCTGGGATCAGGTGGACTGGAAGAAGCACAGTGTCGTCTGTTCGGTGGAGAGCCGGGCGACGATGTGAGTCTCTGTTTCCGGATGCTTGAGTACTTCGGTGGACTCGACTACATCGACTCGTGAGTATCAGTCGATTCTGATTCACCTGGAAACACCAATCCTGACATCTCTACAGAACGAGTGGCCATGCCCTTGGAGATTGAATGTCTGAAGTTCCCGTCTGGAAACTTACCCGGACGGATTGTTTCGCCATCTTTTTTCAGTCACCAAAAAGAACAAAACACCAAAACGATTTTACGAATTTGCGATGTTTATGAAATCCGCATTCGACAGATAAAACACAAAACACCATCGAACCTAAACCGACAACGCGACGCCATGCGTCTTCTGTCGCCCACTGCAAATGCGCCCACACCACACCGAAGTGGCAAGAACGCCATATCACACGGATTATCCCGGGTCCCCGACTTGCAGCAATGAAGATACCTCCCACGAGGTATTGGATTGGTCCCTTTTCACCCGGCCGTGTGGATTTCTGGTCCATTGATTCTATCGCACACATGAGAAAATGAGTCATAAGCATTTTCTGGCTGATACTTCGTGTCCATGATCTGTCTGGATTGGTTGAGTTTGCGTCCGACTTTGAGTTGTTGATGCTTGAACTCCTTTTCTGGGCGGACTGGGGAAGTCTCGGTTATCTTTGTTATGAGGGGAGAATTGTGTGCGATGGATCTGTTCTGTCAATAAACCTAAACTGAAAGGAAATGGATAAGGCTGCAGCATGTGGGTTCGATTGGATATTTCGATCATGACTGTAGCTCTTTTGGAGTGTATTTAATCAGTATATATGCAGCCTTGAGCTCATTCACCAAAATCCATGAACATAGACATACTGTGACCTTCAAAAAAGCCATAGAGAGTTATCATGAATCATAAGATAGAACAATAATGTACAGTATACTACGGAGTACAGACGTAGATGCTTGCCCAGCTGTGGACCTCAAACTTGTCCTTTCACCGCCTAAAACGCTCAAAAAAAACTGCCACGTATTGAGTCCCACTTCGGGAAGGCGGTAGGTGGACCCTGCTTGAGGACACGGTCATCACCAGGTCAGGAAGTGCGATATTGATTCACCCTACCTCACTCCTTTGTTTCTTGTGAGCCAGCATTTTGGGCTCTAAGTAGGCTCTTATTTTCTTTGCACAATCCAAACGCATTCTCTTGACCGTCCAAAGTGGCTATTGTCAACAGCCCTGTGCAACACGATCTTTAAATTCCGCGGCCAGCGGCCACCGCTGTCTGTACCTGAACCCGCCGCAGGATGTCGTCAGACTACACCTATGATGAGCAGGTAAGGATGGGACTTGAACCGATGAAGACACGGTAACGCTAACTTGGGCTTTCAGGGACAATTCTTCCCCTTCTTCATCCTCACCTTGACCGGCCTGGTCACTCTCCCTCTCACCTATAACCTCCTACGACCTAGCAAAGGTGAGTTTTGGCAAGACTATACCATATGTATTCCTAAGCCCTAACCGCTTTATGTTACAGAGCTTGAGAATACGGCTCCCCGCATTAAATCTGACTTCAAACCTGAACATGCGGACCTTATCGACGCGCAGAAGCGCAAGCGCCTGCGCAAAGAGCGCCGAATCAAGCGTATTATCACGGTCATTCTCGGATATGCCGTAATGGCATGGATGGTCTACTTAATTGTCGTCACCGCCAGAACAGTGGTGAAGGCATACGACCCTTATGATATTTTAGGCGTCTCGAGGGTGAGTAATACATCTCGGCGCGTGCTTGTCCAATACGCTCAGAGGATCTCAACTGACTAAATTTCTTGGAAAACAGAGCGCGGATGAGAAAGCCATCTCCAGACACTACAAGCGCATGTCTTTGATCTACCACCCCGATAAAATTCGCCCCGATCCTGCTAAGAATGAGACTGTTGAGATGCTCAACGAGCGCTTTGTGGAGCTTACCAAGGCCTATAAAGCCCTCACTGACGAGGAGGTGCGAAACAACTACCTCCAATTTGGCCACCCCGACGGCAAGCAGAGCTTTAGCATCGGTATTGCCCTTCCCAAGTTCATTGTTATGGAAGGCAATGGCAAATACGTCTTAATGGTGTATGGTGCTCTTCTGGGTGTCCTGTTGCCTTATATCGTCGGCAAGTGGTGGTACGGATCTCAGCGCTACACAAAGGAGCGGGTTCTTGTTGCCAGTGCCGGAAACATTTTCCGTGAGTACAAGGACGATATTACCGAAGGTGGAATCATCAGCGCTTTGTCGTCTGGCGAGGAATTCAATGATATGCTCAAGGGTGCTCGGGCAGAGTCTGGCCTGGCCAAGCTCGAGAAGCGAGTGCTGGCAGATGATAACTCGTTCCTTACGGCCAAAGACCGTGAGGCGCTGAAGCAGTTGGATAGCTCCTCTCGTCGGAAGGCTTTGGCTCTGCTGTGGGCTTATCTTGGCCGGATTGACCTTAGTGATGCCTCTCTGGATGCTGGTAAGAAAAATTAATGATCTTCTGAAACATACCACTAACTGAACCTCCGCAGAAAAATATGAAGCGGCTCCTGTCGCCCTTGCTCTTACTGAAGCTTTCACTGCTATTTCACTCGCATTTGGTAACCTTGGACCGATTGTCGGTGCTTTCAAAACCTCTCAGAACCTCATTCAGGCTGTGTCCCCGGGCTCATCACCACTGCTGCAACTTCCCAACTTCACCGATGCCATTGTCACGTCCGTAGAGGGCGAGGATTCAAAGGAGCACTTCACCGTTCAAAGGTACATGGAACTACCAGAGCCTCAACGACGCAGACTTACTGTCGGTGCTGGCCTTCTCTCTGAGAAGCAATACACCGACGCCGTGTCTGTTGCCAAGCAACTCCCCATGCTCCAACCCGAGCGCATCTTCTTTAAGGTTATGGGAGAAAAGGTGATCACACCTAGCAGTCTGGTACAGCTGGTAGTCAAAGCCCGCTTCATCCCGCCAGGCAGCACATCTGTGCCGCCAGTGAACCCGCTCGACCTAGAGGACGTCGACCCCGACGAAGACGACCTGGAAGCCCTGATGGGTCGCAAGCCAGCCAAGAACCGTGCTACTAAGATGGTCGACGGCAAGAAGGTTGAAGCGAAGATTGAAACCATCCAGCCACCTCTGGCCCACGCACCGTACCTGGCGCGCGATCACTCCCCGCGCTGGAACATCTTCCTAGCAGACGCTAAACAGGGCAAGATGGCCGTGCCTCCGTTTACTTTTACAACATTCGACAAGCCGATCTTCGACGAGTCCGGCAAGCCCACCTTCAACGTCCAGACCCTTAAGATGCAGTTCCAGGCTCCCCCGCAGGTCGGCGACTTCACCTTCATCCTCCACATGATCTGTGACAGCTACCTGGGTCTAGACAACACGGCTCAAATTACTCTGCACATTGACGACCCTGCCAAGGCAGCCGCTGTTGAAGAGGAAGACGACATCAGCGAGCCAGACGAGGGTAAGTCCATCTCAGCTAATACCCACTAAACCACTCATTTTGTGTTTTTACTAACTCTCTCTCTCTCTCTTAGATTCAATCGCCGGCCAAATGCAGGCGATCAAAACAGGTCAAGCACCAAAGAAGAAGTCTAGGGATTCCGACGACTCCAGCGAGAGTGATACCGAAGGCGACGCAGGCGATACCAGTGACACCAACACCGAGACGGAAGACGAGGATTGATTCCCTTTCTCATGCATTGATTGATTGATTGTACTCACAGCTTGTGTGGTGTGTATGTGTGACAATGGCCTTTGAGCTGAACCCTGGACTTTGGCTTTGCCCTTGCCCTGGGCTCAGGCCTACTGTTGCCACCAAGGCGTTCTGGGGTTTTGTCAAATTCTCTTATTCATCGGGTATGGAGTGACTTAGGTATGGCGATGTAACTTAAAAATTCGCTGTCTACGAACTCATAGCTCTTCTGGGCAGTGAGCTAGTATAAGCCTAGGTCCTCTCGATTATCGCGATACACTGATTCCTCGGCTTAAAATAGAGTCTGGATTGAATAAACGTATTACTCTTTTTTAGCCAATCTTCTTATCTGTAGCCCCATCTGCAAGAATAGTCTGCCCCTTACGGAGTATGCAACCCCTATCTTTGACGAGGATTTAAATAACGCACACCTGACCACCGAGTAGGCTAGCATTGGCCAAAAAGTAGGTCTAATTGTCTAATTAGCTGATTCTGACCAACTAGCCGAAAATGGTGGTGTGGTTGGCATGCGGTCGATTGGCCACCAAAAAGACCTCAAATGTCAACCCTGATTATCTGACATGCCAGCCCTACATCTCACCAATTCAAATCCCCTCTCTTCTTAGGCTACGCACCCCCTTATGTTAATCATTTCTACGGTTTATCCACTGCAAGTTTCCCCTCATACTTGTTTTTATTCTTAGTAAAGACCCAGCAATGGAGCTCGGTCGAACTAAGTACATGTTTGGCGCGTGAGAAAGCAACCCCTGGGGGCAGTGCACTCCCCGAGCCCAAACTGCACACAATCCATTGCAAATACCTCCTCCAGATTTCCCTCCTTTTGCAGATATCGCTCCTCCCCCACATATCCATAATTTCCATAAAATGATGTTCCGTTTTCCAGTAAGTGTTTTCCCATGATACGTGCGTGCTAAGACAGAGTGGCGGTCTGTTCCCCAGCCCCGGTTGATGTCGGGCCAAGGAAAGCATCTGTTAGGGCTGCTCCGAGATCTGGTCCAAGGGGGGTCAACTGCGGGTTCTTTCTCGCCCTGCGACGGAAGAAGACTCGCTTAGCCCATTTCCAGGCTTCGACACCCATGAAGAACAGAACCGCCTCGACAGCCACGATACCCCATTCCCAGGTGATGGGCTTGTGTTTGAAGACGACGTCGTTCAAAACGGGGATGTAGAGGATAGGGAACATGGTGATCCATCCGGCCATGACGGACCAGAACAGGAACTTGTTGCGCCAGACATCGTACATCCACTGGGTGAAGTATTTCTTGGACTTGGGTTGCATGCGGAAGAACGAGCGGCGCAGGTTGACCATCTCCCAAGCCAGGAACAGCGCGAACCATGTCAGGCACACGAATGTCGTGGCACGTGCGCGGAAGACCAGTTCGCAGTCTTTGATCTCTTCGGACCACTCCTTGTTGCAGCCGCGGGCTAGGTTACCGTCGCCGAATCC